AAAGTCTCTTTTACCATGTAAGAAAATTTGTTCACAGTTTTAAGAATTAGGAGGAACATCTTTGGGGAGCTATTATTCAGCCTAATATACTGCCCCATATGGAGTAGGAGGTTAATAAATGTTTCTTTAGTTATTTACTTTACCATTCCTGCTAACTGGGCTCATATTTTAAATACTAAAGTGAATAAGAAATTCTGCATAAACTTTCCTTTTTTTTTTTATTTCCAATACTTGGGTTCCCTATTAATCATCTGAAACTTGCATTTGTGGCAGATAGGAAAATTCAGTTGAACAGTTGAGAACTACAGAAAAAAGTGATTTCAGTTGCCAGCTCAATCTCTTCTTGTTAAACCTTGAAAACTTGACATTTGAAAGAGAAAGGCTGTGTAACAATTCCACTTTGTAAAGTATTCTTCCAGTTTGGGAATACAGGATTTTACAAGTTTCCAAACAACTTCTAATCAAGCTTTTAAAATAGAGTGTTGAACACACACACACACACACAAAATGGGGGTACCTTGTAAAGGATTGTGACAAGGGTTTTCCAATTCTTCACATGCTCTTTGAGAAAATGTTTAGACAGAAAAAACAAATGATGGCCTTTCTGAGTTAAAACAGTTCCAGTTGCTTCAACAGATCATTGCACAAGAATGAGCAACTGCTTATTGAAATTCTGCCTCCTGGAAGCACCTCCAGTGCCCTCTCGTTCATGGAAAAGTCTGTAATCAGCTATGACTTTACAAAAGCTATAATCAGCTATGACTTTACAAAAGCTGGGACCAAACATGAAAAGCTCAGTGCTGGGGCACATGATCCCCACATGTGCATGAGTGATCTTCCCACATTGTTCATGTGGCCCCAGTATCTCCCCACCACCACCCTTCAGCTTTTCTACTGCTCTGCTCCTAGGTTGCTGATCTACAGTGTGCTATAGTGATCTCAGGTTCATTTTAAATAGCTTGATATATTGACATAGTGGTATAGTAATTCCCTGTCTGAAAATCTTGGGGGCAGATGTGTTCAGAATTTTTGAGTTTTTAGAGAGGAAATACAAAGCAAATACCATATATTCAGTTAACACTCCCAGTGGGTCTGGGTCAACCTCCCTTAATATTTCTGCAGTAAAATATGTAAATATTCTTTACCACTGAAATCACCTGAGATTATAAAAAAATTTTCACAAGGGCTTAACATCCAAAATATATAAAGAATCCATAAGGCTTAATATCAAAACATAATCTAAAGAGCCGATAAAGTTCAATATCAAAACACAGCCTGATTAAAAAATAGTCAAGGAACCTGAATGGACACTTTTAAAAAAAAAGACATACAGATGGCCAACAGGCACATGAAAAAAATGCTCAATGTCACTAACCATCAGGGAGATGCAAATCAAAACCACAATGAGATATCACCTCACACCTGTCAGAATGGCTATTATCAAGAAATAACAAGTGTTAGTGAGGATGGGAACCCTCACACAATGTTAGTGGGAATACAAACTGGTATAGCCACTAAGGAAAACATTATGGATATTCCTCAAAAAAATAAAAATAGAACTACTATATAATCCAACAATTCCACTTCTAGATATTTACCTGATGAAAACAAAAACACTAATTTGAAAAGACGTATAAACCACTGAGTTCATTGCTACATTATTAACAACAGCCAAGATATGAAAGCAACCTAAATATCTATTGATGGATGAAGGGATAAAGAAGATATGGGGGGTGTGTGTGTGTGTGTGTGTGTGTGCACACGCATGTGTGTGTGTGTGGCGGAATATTACTCAGCCACAAGAAGGAATCAAATCTTGCCATTTGCAACATCATGGGTGGACCTAAAGCATATTAATACTAAATGAAATAAGTCAAAGACAATTTCCATATGACTTCACTTACAAGTGGAATCTAAAAAACAAACAAACAAAACAAAATGGAAACTGTCTCGTAGATACAGAGAACAAACTGCTGGTTGCTAGAGAGAATGGAGGAGAGAGGATGAGCAAAACAGGTGGAGGGAATTAAGAGGTACAGTCTTCCAGTTATAAAATAAATAAGTCGTGGGGATGTGATGTGCAGTTTAGAGAACAGTATTGATAATATAGTAACAACTTTGTATGATTACAGTACCTAATTAGTATGGTAACCAGACTTATTGTGGTGGTCATTAAGTAATAAATATAAAAAGCAAATCACTATGTTCTATACCTGAAATTAATACAATATTGTATGTCAATTGTTCTTCAATTAAAAAAACCTGTCCAATCAATTGAGGTTAGCTTTTGTTGCCAAATTAATTTTGGACCTAAACTTGCTAAAAAGGATTCAGTATTCAAAGCTTTTTGGACTTTAGAATTTCAGATAAGAAGTTATGAACCTATATTACAAGTTGGCAAGGGGGTGGTTGTTTTGTGTTGTTTTTTCAAACTTTTTCATTGTGTACCATCCAAATGGAAACTCAGTGAAAACTCCACACTCCTAGAATCAGGAGGGTAGATATTCAGTGAATACAGCTAAGGAAAGGCCATTCCAGGCAGAAGAAAGAGCTTAAGAAAAGTCTTACAGAGGTGGGAAATTGCATAGTATGTTTAGTATGTAGTGGGTTATGTGTTTAGGGAATTAAATGGAGGAATTGCATGGGGGAATTTCAGCCTGTAATGCTTCAGAGATGAATTAAGACTAAGTCAAATAAAACCTGGAATGATATATGAAGGAGTGTACACTATATATTGAGTCTTGGGATGACTAAATAAATTTTTTATAGGGGTGCTTGGGTGGCTCAGTCAGTTGAGTGACCAACTCTTGGTTTTGGCTCAGGTCATGATCTTGGGGTCGTGAAATCAAGCCCCACTTCAGGCTCTATGCTCAGCAGGGAGTCTGCTTGGGATAATTTTTTCTCTCTCCCTCTCCCTCGTCCCTCCCTTTTCAAATAAATAGATCATAAAAATTTTTTTTTTAATCTTGCTTTGTTTTTAACAGGAGATGATGCAAGCCAACAAAACTGAGGCAAAGCTTTAGACAAATTGCTGGGGTGACATTTTGTACAAGGAATTAATGGACAGAGAATGAGTGAAAATAGGTAGACCCAGCAAGGGTATATCAAAAAGTCCTTGATGAGAATGATAAAACTCTAAAGCAGGGCAGAGGCAGAGAAAATGGCCTGAGGGAGAAGTGAAAGAGACATAAGTAGAACGGATCATAGTTAGCAACCAATTAGATGTAGGAAACAAAGAAAAGAGGAGATTCAAAGATTACTCTTAGTTTTTAGTCCTTGGAGGTGTGATGGCACTGGAGAAAAGAGAAGGTATAGATTATGGATGAGGAAGGTGGGAAATTATTAATTCACTTTTACACTAAACAACAAATGAACTTCTGTTCAAAGTCAGGAAAAAAAAAACAACTGGTCAGTAATATATCAAGAAAGTAGACATTCAACCAGCAGCAGTTAGTCAGGGGAGCTAATGCCTTTAGAAACAAGCAATGGAGCTGCTAATCTTGTGTTGTCCCCATCTGGGGGACATATAAGTTGCAACTGCATTCCACAATGTCCAGCTTACCCCACCTCACAGAAAATGAGAATTGCAAGGACACAAGCTCACCTAAGCAGTTGTTATCACTGGTTGTTCTTACTATGTAGGAAATCAGATAATTTACTCAAATGGAATCCCTGAGGATCAGTGAAGTCACCACCCCTGAAAGTAGGGTGAGCAAGCAGGTACCCTCCCTCAGGATTCTGCAAGTGTCCGTCTTGCATTTCCAAGACCCTGAGAGTCAACGTCTCCTTAAATTTTGCATCTCAGTCACATCATTTGCCTTACCAAGTCCCAACCGTAGGAGGAGTGTGAAATATTTTCCAGGACAAAGTAGCTATAGAAGTTCTTTATTAAGAAACCTTTATGTTGTAGTACAGGGGTCATAGAACTTTTCTCACAAAGTACCAGGTAATGAGTATTTTAGGCTCTGCAGGTTCTCTGGTCTCTGCCCCAACAACTCAATTCTGCCATGGTAGTGGAAAAGCAACCACAGACTAAATGTAATGAATGGGTATGACTGCGCTGCAATAAAACTTTATTTACAAAAATAACAGTCAGATTTGGCCCTTGGGTCATAGTTTGCCAGCTCTGGTGTATGGAAGGAACTAGCCAGACCCTATGTTTACATTCTAGATCCACCATTTACAAAATATCTGGATTTGGACATGCACCACTGTAAAATGTGACTAATTATACCTCCCTCACTGGTTGTGGGGATTAGAGAAAATGTATATAAAATGCCTCATAAATAACAGGCATTCAAATAGGACAGTAGTCTTTTTAATTACAAAACTTAATACGAGTAATAGCTAACACTTTTTGAATGCCTTTATGATATACCAACTACTGCGTAAAGCACTTTGCAAAGATTATTTCATTTAATTTTCCAATAGCTCTCGAACTAGGAACTATTTGAGTATATTCTTTTCTACTTGTGGAGAAACTGAGGCATGAAAAAATGCCCAAGAGATGCTTCTCCAGCTAGTAAGTGATACAGCTGGCCTTTCATCCCAAATTAAGCAGATTCCAGATGCCTTGGTGCTAATCTCTGCCCTAGTTAATTCGCTCTACTAATTCAGCTCCAATTGAAATCTTCTCAAGTTCTATAGGACTTTTCATCACTTTTCACAGCATAACACAACTGAAAATAGTTTAATACATAACTTTTGGAAACTCAGCTTCAGGCTAACACTCAATAATATCTTCCATAAGTAAAACTCTATTCCCACCCCTTTCCTGCCCATCTATTGTCCCCTTCCAACACATATCTCCAATTCAGGAAAAACAGAATATTATTAAAAAAGCTAATGCAAACCCATTTCAAAAAATTTATCCTGTAATCAACCTAAAAACTTGCAATTTCAAAGCTCCACTGCAGAATAGCATACTGGATTAATTATGCCAGACTGCAGCAGTAACCTTGAATTAAAGCTGCAACCTTCTATTTTTAAGAAACACTTGCCTTTCTGGTTGATGAAACCTGTCGTCCCATCAGGTAACAGACGTGACCAGGAAAGAGAGAAGCGGTAATGAGTCAATCCAAGCTGTTTGATACATTTCAAATCTTCCTCCCACAGAGTGTAGCTGCCACAAGCTACATCGCCAGTCTGGTTCTTGAAAACTCTCTCTCCTCCCTGATGGGTGAATGTGTCCCAGACACTAGGGCCTTTTCCATCTGCATCCCAGCCTCCTGAGAAAAAAGAAGAAAATGAAACAGTTACACTCTTGACATCAAGAGGCATATGTGGAATGTAAATATTTGTCGCCAAAAGAACATACCTCATTAACTCAATGTACCATATTTATAACTTTAAAATATGCCTTTAAAATAGCACGCATGAGTGAATTATGTGTTTAGCTGTCCTTGATCCCTGAAGCTGACTGATGGCAAATGAAAAATTATTTCATAGTGCTGCCGCATAGCAGGCTTTCATGGTTCATTTTCTGAAGATTTCCCAGCTGGTAAACAGAGGCAGGCCCCAGCTTACGAATGTCTGAGTTGCAGATACCTCCTCCTGGCCATGACCGACAAGCCTTGTCCTTATTGTGCCTGACAGAGTCTCAGGACCTTGTCTTTGGCCCTCTACACTTGAACTCTATTCACCTGCTAACAACGAAGCCTGCAATGGTCCAGTCAATTATTGTGGGGAGGGTACTAGTCTCTGCTACTGTTAACATATTAGTATCCTACCTTCATTCATTCATGCCTCCATTAATTCCACAAATGTTACGTGTCAGGATCTATGCTGAGCACAGGAGTTAACAGGGCACACTCTGCTGTGCTTCCTATCTTTGGAGAACTTAGCTATGGTTAACTGTAAAACAGCCAAGGTAAAAGACTTGTCAGAAAACCAAGAAGGGGCATTTATCCAGATGTGGGCTAGAGTTGGAGGTCTCTTAGAGAAGTGACTTTTAGACAAACACCTCAAGGAAAAATTGGGTCATCAAGGTGAATTGCTGGGAGGTGGGAGTGGGGATAAAATAGAAAAAAAAGAGAAGTTAGGATCCAAATACACCCACAAGAAAGAGAGAGTGTTGCACATTAGAAGAACAGAGAGTAAAAGTTACATTACAGTTGGAATATCTGTACACATAGAGATCTTGTTTAAAATGTAGTTAGAATCCATTTTATGGTAAAAGGAGTAATTTTAAAAATCTTGTGACTTCCTCATTTCACTTCTAGGTACACACCCTGGAGAAATGCTCATGTAGTTTCACAAAGAGATTATAGGAGATCATCGAGACAGAAACATCTATAATAACAAACTCTTGGAAACAACTCACATTCTACCAATAGTAGAACAGATAATTTGAGGTAGAAGCATACAGACGAAACACAAATCAACAGTTAAAGGGAATGAATCAAAGCATCAGTAAACCTCTGCTACAGTGTCCCCCCAAATTTATGTTGAAATCTTAATGCCAATGTGATGGTATGAGGAAGTGGGGTCTTTGGCAGGTGTTAAGTCATGAGGGTAAAGCCCCCAGGAATGAATTACTGCCCTTATAAAAGACCCCCCCAGAGTCCCCCAGTCCCTTGGGCCATGTGAAAATGAAGACGTTTGTGATGCACAAGAGGGCCCTCAACCAGCCATGCCAGTGCTCTCATCTCAGACTTGCAGCCTTCAGAATTGTGAGAAATAAATATTTGTTGTTTATAAGCCATCCAGTTTATGGGTATTTTGTTATAAGCCTCCAAATGGACTTAACCTCCAAACAATAAAGCTATACAATCAAAAAAACAAACAAACAAACAAAAAAAAAAAAACACTTGAGATTCAAAAGAATGTATCCAGGGACAAAGGGGTGGAATTTAGATTTTTAGGGCAGTAAAAATGTTCTACATGATATTGTAATGGTAGATATATTATCAAAACCTATAAACTTATAAACTATGAACTTCATTTAATAGTTTTATATTGATATTCATTCATCAATTGTAATAATTGTCTCACAGTAATGCGAGCTGTTACTTGTAGTGGAAACTGGGGAATTGGGTATTTGGAAACTCTTAATAGGTCCTGCTCAATTTTTCTGTAAACCTAAAATTATTCTAAAATATAAAGTCTACCAATTGTTAAAGAATATATACATGTTTTGTATATTTTAAATATGTAAAATAATCCATGTATATTCTGAACGTGTACATATGAGATAAAAATACAACATGCCTGAAAATGATCCATTCAGGCTAGTGGTTACCTTCAGGGAGAAAAAAAGGGTAATAGAACAAGAAAGGAGTTTCACTGCATCTCTTATGTTTTATTCCTTAAAAGGGGCTAGGGGTATTTGGGGATAGTCACAGCCCTTTTTATGTGCCTACAATATTTCATAATGATTTTTATATAAGAAAGAAGGTCACAGATAGAGTAAACTAAAACAATTACAAGAAGGTCTTTTAGGTCCTCATTTAGCATCTACTTACTCGTATTTTACACAATTTAAACTGAATTAGGTACTAGTTTTTAGAACAACAAGAGGACAGCATAGGCTATAAATTATAGGAGGGGATCATGGGAAGACAGGAGAGACAGGTAAAAGGAGGAGCTCCAACAAAAGCAAAAATGACAGTTGAAATCAGGGTAGGATATTAAGTATCCATACAAAGAAATCATGAACATTAAAAAATGATTGTACTCTGGAGTCATAATTTAGAGACAAAAGGTTTTATACATCCCAATGGCTCTCAGTTTATGTCTGTATATGGGATTTAGAAGGATGGGGGAAAAAGAATACTGATATTCAATCTTAGAATGAAAAAGGTATGAATATTAAAATAGAATTTTAGTCAAGTATGGAGCTCATAGTATCAGATAATTTATTTTTTTTTGGTAATTTATATTTTTATTTTTATATTTACTTATTTATTTATTTATTTTTAATTTTTTAGTTTTTATTTTTTATAAACATATAATATATTTTTATCCCCAGGGGTACAGATCTGTGAATTGTCAGGTTTACACACTTCACAGCACTCACCATAGCACATACCCTCCCCAATGTCTATAACCCCACCCCCCCCTCCCACCCCCCCCCCCCCAGCAACCCTCAGTTTGTTTTGTGAGATTAAGAGTCACTTATGGTTTGTCTCCCTCCCAATCCCATCTTGTTTCATTAAATCTTCTCCTACCCCCTTAACCCCCCATGTTGCATCTCCATTCCCTCATATTAGGGAGATCATATGGTAGTTGTCTTTCTCCAATTGACTTATTTCGCTAAGCATGATACCCTCTAGTTCCATCCACATCATCGCAAATGGCAAGATTTCATTTCTTTTGATGGCTGCATAGTATTCCATTGTGTATATATACCACATCTTCTTGAGCCATTCATCTGTTGATGGAAATCTAGGTTCTCAAGAAATGGTCAGAAGACATGAACAGACATTTCTGCAAAGAAGACATCCAGATGGCCAACAGACACATGAAAAAGTGCTCCATATCACTCGGCATCAGGGAAATACAAATCAAAACCACAATGAGATATCACCTCACACCAGTCAGAATGGCTAAAATTAACAAGTCAGGAAATGACAGATGCTGGCGAGGATGAGGAGAAAGGGGAACCCTCCTACACTGTTGGTGGGAATGCAAGCTGGTGCAACCACTCTGGAAAACAGCATGGAGGTTCCTCAAAATGTTGAAAATAGAGCTACCTTATGACCCAGCAATTGCACTACTAGGTATTTACCCTAAAGATACAAACGTAGTGATCCGAAGGGGCACGTGCACCCGAATGTTTATAGCAGCAATGTCTACAATAGCCAAACTATGGAAAGAACCCAGATAATTTATTTAATAGATGAAGAATCTTAACCTCAGAGATTTTAAGCAATGGTGTTCTAGAAAATATTGATAACTGGCTATATGTTTAGAAATGTGGGGGCACTGGACTGGCTCAGTTGGTAAAGTATACAAGTCTTGATGTCATGAGTTCAAGCCCCACATTGGGCATAGAGCTTACTTAAACAAATAAAAATAAATAAATAAATAAATGTATATATATGTTTATTAGGAATTTTATTGACATAACAGTTGTATAGTATACAATTTCCAAATAATATGCAATATTCTTTACTGTAAATTCTCAGAGAATGCTATTTTAGATTTTTGTCAAATCCTTATATTGGTAACCAAACTATGGTTGCAATCTAACAGTTCTCATGTGAATGTTAACCAGTATTTTTGCTTAAATTAATGGACAAAATAAAAGAAAAACTTAACAATGTACCAGGATTTCACTTGTTCATCAGTGACATGAGCTACACCTTCACTGAACTAGAATATTTCCTCAAATGTTTGTCCTACTCACCATGTGACACTATAGACATGAGACACTTTTAATTTTACCCTGCATTATTAACATTTTCTCTATCACTTTCTTAGGTCCTAACAACAAAACAAGGAATCAAATACTGATTTGCAGCAGTTGCCAATTTCTCCAGTGTAAATACTTCCACCATGGTCAATTTCAAGCAACCAATAGGATGGTACTAAAGGCAGAGTGGGGAAAAGATGAGCAGTAACACAACATTATATAGTATACAGACAAAAGAATAACCTCAATGACTTTTGGTTATATGTAAGAGCATAGGGAATAATAAAATTTAGCAAAATAATGAAGAAGTAATGATTTTGAGCCTTAATTACCTTTCATTTTAATATAAATTATATCCTTATAAGTTTCTATCACTTAATTTTTAGTAATGGATATGTTTAGGAATCAGCTCACAAGGGGCACTGGGTGATTCAGTAGGTTAAACGTCGAACTCTTGATTTTGGCTCAGGTCAGGGTCATAACATTGAACCCGGGTCAGTTCCTCACTTAGTGCAGAGTCTGCTTGAGATTCTCTGTCTCCCTCACCCTCTGCCCGTCCCCCCAACCATGCATGCTCTAAATAAATAAATAGATAAATAAATAAAATCATTTTTTAAAAATAGAATCAGGCCACAAAATTACTGAAAGCTTAACAATAGGTACTGGTGAACAGTACAAGCTGGCTTCCCAAATCACTGATAAGTGACTTGTCTAAGACCACACTGCTAGTAAGTAGGGAAGTGAAGGTATATTTCCAGATCTATGTGACATTGAAGTTCAAGTCCATTCAATGAACTATGCTACTTTTAGTAATAATGAGTGATGCTAGTGCCCATGCTACTCAATTTATGAAGCCTAAGATGTACATAACAC